TCAATGAAAATAGATAGGAGATCTTACTTTCAGAGTGATCTGTGTACGTAGAATTTCAGAACCTTTAAGGTTGGTAGTGATGTTTTGGTTTCATCTAGTTGTACTTCATGTTTACAGAGGGGTCAGCTAAAGTAGGTAGTTGAACTATTCACTGAGTCTGATTTTGAACATCTCCAACACTGGAGACTCCAAGACCTCTGTGCAACCAATTGTAGTGTTTAACTACTACTACAGTTGGTACAGAAAAGAAAAAAAGATTGTCTCCCCTTTATTTTGGTTTAAATGCAATTTCCTGTGTTTAAGTTTGAGCATTTGCTTCTTGTCCTTTCACTGTGCAACACTGAGAAGACTGATTCTGTAGTCTTTGCTCCTTCTTTCACATATATACACACATCGAGAAGCTCCTCCTAAAACCTTTTGTTTAAAAGTAAACAGCATTCTCATTTCTCTCTTCTTTGTGTTTTGAGCCAACTTTTTGGATTTTATTAATGTTTACCCTGTTTGATGTTGGAGTAACGTTTGGTCATGGCAGCTTTGATGGTCAAAGCCCATCACTGACAGTGGTCTTTGATTAAAAAATATGGAATTGATTCTCTTTTACTTTCCCAAGCTCTGTGTCTAAGCAAAGAATGATTCATGCCCAGCCACTGGCTTCTTTGCATCTGTGGCTTCAAATATGTTTTCAGTTTACTGTCTTAATGTTCCAGACCTTTTCTACATGTTCTGGTACCCATGATCAGTGGGTAATAAACACGCAGCTCCTTTAGAAATCATTTTAGTGACAGTTTACTCGCGTGGACAAAACTCTTTCAAAATGAATCCTACAGTGGGAACTGAAACTCCCATGCAAACTATTACATGTTGTTCTCCACATTGGCCTTACCAGAACATTTGTCTCGAGTAGAGGAAGCGTGGCATTTTGGTATTTCTTGGAGGACCAAGGAGTGTAGTAGTTGTATACATGTAGGCATGCATTAAAGTATATATAGAAGTAACTAGTGTAGTCATAGAAAAAATAATATATTCCACTGAAGGAAAAATTCTACCTTCCTTTATCCTGAAAAAAAAAAAAAAAAAATATATATATATATATATATATAATAGAATATCTAAAAGCAAAAACAACCAACCTCACACAGTAGTTTACAACAATTATCAGTATACTTCATCCCTCTGGCCTTAAGAATTAAAAAAAAAAAAAAAAAGCTTTTATTTTGGAAAAATAAATATACACAGTGAGCATGGAACAGTCTGCTTTTGGTCTGTGCCTCTGACCTAGCATGTATGTTAATTATTGATGCATCGCAAATGACTTCTTTTTAATTCCTAATCAGTATTAAGCAGTCCTTAGAAAAGTTGTTGAAACCAAATAAGAAATAAACAGCTTTTTGCAATTAATGTGAAATGGATATACCGTGAGGATGGATTTAGGCTACAGATAATTCACTGTTCTACCAATGTTTGTTATGCTTTTTTAAAATAATGATGTTTAATGATCTACCGTTTCATTTGTTAAACTCATTCTTTTGTTAAACATAGTGATTTTTTCAGGATGGAAATCTTGGCTTTAATAAGAGTAGATGAGACTGGATCTGGTATTTGGAACTGTATTCTGCCTCAGACAGTGCTCCTGTCAGCAAGCTTGTTCTGCACCCACTGTCTTTTTTTTCCCTTATGTTAGAAATTTGTATATTGAGTAGTATCACCAGGGCCTTTGACAGCATTGCAAAAGTAGATGTTGATCTTGTACGTTTCTGCTGTGGCATTAGTGAGATGCGATAGTAGCAATGATGAAGCTGGCAGCTGAAAACCACCTCATTGAAGACAGATTAAAATCGTGAGTCCTTCCTTCAGAAATGTTTCCACTGGAGCTATTGGAAAATTTGATCTTAAATCCAAAAACGGAAAGAAAAAAAAAAAATCCTGTTTACAAGAGAGCCGTGTCCGTATCTGTGCGAGGTGTTTGTACTTTATTTATCACCTAGACAGGAGGCTCTAGTTGAAAGCTCTACTCAAAGGAATACAAGTAAAACTGCTGCCCAATAATTTTTCTTTATTTACCATGCAGTCACAGTGCCAGGCAGTATTTATGTGGTGGTTATACTTTCAGACCTGTGTTAAAAGTGGAAGAGATTTCATTTAATGTTTTTTTCAGAACTAACAACTAGCAACAGCAGAAGCAAAGTTATTTTTTTTCCAATTTAACTAAAGGTTATTATTTTAACGATGGGAATAATATTTCAAACTGTGCCTTGAGAGATGATGTGAAGTACTGGCTTTTTCTTATTGGGATAAAGAAAGAGAGAAGCTATTCTCCTTTCCCCAGCTGGCTAGCTATGTGACAGTGACTCTTAGGCTTTGCTCACCTTCAGCAAGGTCATGTCAATACCAGAAAAGTAGGTGTTGCAGTTGTTTGTGATTCTGAGCACAGTAGGAGGATTGCTACTATGTGCAGAATACTGCTCCACTGAAAGAGATTGCGATGAGCTCAGGGACTACACTGGAGTAAGGTGAACGTGCACTGCAGTTCATGACGTCTTACTACAGAGCAGTATTACAGGTCTTTGTTTATTTTTGCCTTTGTTACATACCTATGTGTGTTTGAGTGAGTTGCAGCATCTCTTTTAGATGGGATTTGCAGGGAAGTGTACATACACAAGAGTTCATGTGGGAGCAGAATGCTTAATGATGAATTTTATATTAAATTCAGTGGCTCATCAGCCATGAAACAAACAAACATGCATATCAGAACTCATCTGGTAAATGTGTTAGAATTCATTAATAAGCACTGAAGTTTCTGGATGAAGAAATGTCAATGAAAAAGATTGATTTGTGTGGTATATGCTTTGGTTTCTTTCCTCCTTGAATGATATGCTACTTGCAGATAGGGGACTGGGCTTAAGGTTTTCAAAATTCAAGTGTTAGTTTTAAAAATAAAAATACATATTCAATTTTCAGCAAAAAGAATCTTGTTCTGGAGTGGGATATGTTTTTGGTATGGGTTTTTTGTTAGTTTTTTTGTTTTGTTTTGGAATAAAATATGTATGGGAAAGCTGTAGAACAAAGAAGAAAGGCCTTTTGTGTGTGTAAAATCTATGTGCATGAGGAAGATATAATAAGGAGGCTGTTCGTAATGCAATAATTGTTTGCTGGTAGGTTGAAAAATAAAGCAAGGCAAGAATTAAAAGAAACAAGCTCCAGATGTTTTGAAGCCCCATTCTTTGAACTGGATTTCATATTTTCTGTATTCAGTCCAGACAACATTCAAAAAGAAAATCTCCCTGGGGAATCTGTACAGCTAAAATAACATGGGTTTCTGCTAGTTTGGCTCTGCCTACTATTTTTCTACTGTATTAGTAGACATTGGTGGGGTAGCTGAAGAAATAGCTCTGCCTGTCTGACTTGGTTCACGTTAAAGCTATCAATAAACATGGTGCTTTTTATTAGGTGTACAAATGTTCTATGCAACTTAGTGCTCGTGGCTGTGAAGAGTTCTTTAGTTTCAGAAGTAGCTATAAACAAATATTTCTGAATAATGATTTTTAAAATATTTTTAAGTGCCTGAAGAGATATTTTCGTTCAGTCTATTTAGAGCACTGTCTGAGCATGTACAGGCAGAATGACCATACTTATTCATTCCTGCAACTTGAATATCTCATACATTCTATTATTCTAAATTTTCCTCCACTTCAAAAGAGTTGTTCCTTGAGTTTCAGTATTGGACAAATTGTGATTTAATTGTATAGTGCGTTAGCATAATATACATGATAACTTGTATATGACATCATGTAGATTCTTACTGATAGAACAACTTTTTTTGAGGTACTCTGGCACCCAAACAATGAAGGAATCTCAGTCATGTAAACCAGTTTTTTCAGATGCACATATTTATTGCGAATTTATAGAATTAAGATATATATGTACTCAATTTACACATGTACTTTTCATTCTATTCTAGTACTAAGGGGAGAAGGATTTTTTTCAGCAAAAATTTAAAAAGGTATCCGAATATGATGTTGGGAAGCAAGTTTTGCCTGCAAATGCCTTTTCCTCAATTTTGGTGGTAGCCAAATCTGTGCCCATATTGAGTCATGTACTAATAGTTAAATTAGTTAGCCCATCACGACTATACAAGTGAAGAGGATTTGTTTCTTGTCTACCCTCCTGAGTTTCAGCAGTTTGTAGCATCAGTTGTCCTTCTATTACAGTTGGCCATATTTTCCCCCGTTGAACAGTTAAACTGTTTAGTAGATGACTCTGAGCTTTATGTGGCCCTAAGTCCAATTGTAACAAGGAATTTTGTTGTGAACAAAGCTACTTTGTTTTCCCCCAGATTTGTTTGTGTGGATTTTTTTTTTTAAGCTGACTGGATCTGAGTTGTTCAAAAGTGTTAGGTATAAATAATTTTCTATCTGTTTTTAATGTTAGAGAAGTTGTGCGTATCTGCAGAGGTTAATGAGAGAACTGGAGTACACAGAAGGTGGAGCACATAGAGAATGGCCTTTGATGAATTCAGGGTGTCTCTCTTCATCTATGCAAAGATGAAAATGCCCTTGTCTTTATATATGAAGTAATTAAAAACTTGTTAGTTGCGTCAAAATATATTTAGTGATGTAGCAAAGAATAATTGTGTGACTATAATGTGTACAGCTTGATCAACATGTTAATTTTAATTGCTTTCCCTCTCTGGTAATGGAAACTGTTTGCTCAAGAGCAAAACATATTATTTTGATGTTAGTTTGACTTGACTGTGAGAAGTCAGATTGTGTCTGGATGCAGTGCTGTATGCTACCAAAAAAATCCCTTAACGCCTTAGTTGGTTGCTATTTCAATGAATATCTTTGTTTTTGCTCTTTTACAATAGATACATATTCTTCGCATCGAAACTCGTACGGTGAAAGTATGTCCTTATGGGCTGGTGTATAATGCCCCAAGGTTAAGAAGTATGCCAAAAAAGTAATGCAGTCAGACTCACTGTCGTGTTTATTTCTAACCCTCAGGTAAAACTTTCAGTTTGAAGCACAAGATGAGCAATGTGCTGCTGAGCTCCTCCTTTCAGACCTTTCTGGTAAGCAGCTTACATGTGTGCAAAGAATAGATTTGATACAGACTGTTTACATCTGCTTGTAAGAGCTCAATGTGGAGAGATGAAATTGCAGTACAAAGAGTTGTTGAGATAGAGTACGTGATCACCAAAATGAGGAAAAACATGACCTTAAGGTTTTGAATGTTACAACCATATTTTGTGCTTATTGTTCTAATCAGTATTAAAGTCTGAATGAATCAGTGTGATTCACTCAGTGCATTCTTCCTGTTTGAGATTCTCTTCTTGATACTTAAACACTCCTTTTGATAAAATTATTTTTAATTTCTGTTCAAGATGTACTTCAGAAGACCTTATAGATTAGGATTGTGATGTTTCATAATGTTATGTTTAAAATGTTCAGTAGACTAGATAAGGATCAGTATTCTGTATCAGCAGCTACAGAAATGGAACATTTCTAGATAACATTGCTTTAAATTAGGATGGGTACTGTGCATGCCATTTCCAAAACATAACGTTTCCCTACGTAGGGTAAACTCTTTCCAAAAAATGACTTTGTTTCTTTGACTTTTTGTATGTGGAACTTTTTGTGTGCAGAACAACTGACATTTCATTTCTCTGTCGGCTGGATTAATTACTTTCAAAATGGACCGTGCTTCTGATTTCCACAACATCAGTCAGTTCCTGCCAAATTAATTTTCTGTTTGTCGATGGTCCATTAACTACAATATAAAGCTTCTGTCCCCCAGGCAAAAATGCAAGCAGCATATATCCTCTTGGTTTTTTGTGTTGGAACAAGCAAATAGACAGTAAATATATCTACCATCAGGTTGAATCCAGGCGGTTCTCCAGTTTCTCTAAATAATCAACAGACGGAAAGTGCTTAACTTGCTTCAGCTGGCATTCTTAATGCTCACATTTAAAACAGCAACAAGCACATCCTATATTGCACAGAACAAAATGTCGTCGCTGTCATATTGCAGGCCCCTTGCCTGCAATGAAAGTCTTAATTCCTAAAATTCAAGTAAGCTCAGGTGAAAGAATCTACTAACTTCTTAAGGCACCTCTTGCAAAATAACTGAAACTCCTTGGAGCTTAAGTCTCATTATTGTTGAGATATTGACGTTTTAAATCATTTAACATTTTTTTTGAAATTCTAAATTTTCGCTTTCAGTGACAACATCTTCCTCAGCTTTTGCCTGCTCATTGGCCAATACACAGCATGGGCTGCATTGATTTATACAGCTATTGGCATAAATATTTCTGAGTGGGGCAAATGAAATGACCTCTTCATATTTCCAAACCTCTTTTTTTTAATTCTTGCAGTTTATTTTACTAATGTTTGCATCTGCTATGATAAGGCATGAACATGTCTAGCACTGGAGTGCTAAGCTCAGCAGCAGCAGGAATTTTGAAGATCTGCAATGTATCTTTCTTAAGAGAGGCCAATGCTGCTTTGTTCTATACTTTCATGCCATTTATTTTATTTGATGCTGTGAATAAAACTGATTGAAACAGCATGGAACTGCACTCTTCTAGCCCAAGCACAGGTAGTAGTTTCCTGGAAATATTTCTGCTTCATAAGCTGACCCTGCCTGCTGAGATGAAAACACAGGAAATGTGTGGTAGGCAACGTCATTGCAGTGAAAATGTGGGTTGTAATTTATTTTTTCCCCAAGACTAAAAATATGATCATTTCTTTGAGGAAAAATGTTCTAATATTTTAGAACACCATCATAGCAATATTGTAGTACCAACCGGTGGAGATGGTGACACAATATAGCTTGCACTGTTCAACAGAATTGTCAGAAATTTGCACCATTGCTTAAAAGCGAAAGCTTTATTGGGTTTGCTTTTCTGGACCAAACACACCTGAAATTCTAGGGGAGGTGCTACAGAAATGCTATGTAATTTTTTTATTGGCCACACGTGCAGAATGTAAAAGCAATAAAGTTCAAATCCAAATTCCCTGCATGTTCACAGAAATGTGATGTCCTTTAGGGGTGTTAGGTGGTAAAATCAGCTCATGGATCATACAACCAGCTGGTGTCACAACCATGGGCAATGTCCACAGGCACTCTGTGTTGGCCTGTCCAGGTCATAAAACAAAATGTTCATTTGCCTTAGAGGATATGTCACGCTTCTCAGTTTTTCTATTGACTTCTCAGTCTCCTGTTCTGGACTACATCCCTTTTTGTGGTCATCAGTATGGCCCATTTCTCTCATTACATCATTGATGAGAAGAGCACTTGATAGTCATGTGGTTTTTACTCTGTAAAGTTCTACAACCTTCTGTTGTATTTAATTATTATTTAAACTAAAGCCACTTTGATCATGGATGGGAGAAATAAAAAAAAAAGGGGGAGGTCTTAATTATGTCAAGACTTGGAAATCCTAGGGGTAGTTTTAAAGTGTTTGTGGATGACTGCAGATACATTAAAAATGGGAAATAAATGGAACTGTCAAGGCAGAAAATAGTTAGAAGAATGTGAAATGTAGACATTGGTCCATAATACAAAGGTGCATATAGATATGTGATATGTAAAAGCCCTTGCTAGTGTTGCGTTCACTGTAGTTCTTCACTGTGTTTCTATGGAAAAACCTTCTCAATTCAGTGGTACATTAGCAGAAAGCACTGCTGATGCTAAGCTTCTAGATCTTGTAAAAGGGTTGCTGCTGCTTGCTGCATATGTGCTTGTTAGACCTATGCTAGCTAGACCTATGTGAGTTCATATGTGAGTTCAACTGTGGTCCCCTGTGCTCCAACTATGTTTTATGTGACTGACAGAGGCAATGTGCACATGTGGTGCAGTGTTCCAGGTGTCCCAAATACATACAGTATTCCAACTGGGTTTTTGGATGAGTGAAAATACTTCAAAAATGGCTGGAGGTTTCACACTTCCTTGCACTGCTCTGAGGTAGAAAATGATAAGGTAGGGTATGGCTATTTTGGTATAGTTTTCTCTTGTTCATAGTATAGATTTTGGATGATTATACAGTTAGTGGAAAGCATGCATGTCCAGTGCCCTGATCTTTTCTTGTGATGGTGTGATGCGCTGGCTTTCTTAATGTTCGCTGGTATTAAAAGCATCATCTGAAAAGACTTGAAAGCGCCTACCAGAACTGAGTGTGCCTCACGAGTCTAATATGAACAGCACTCACTCAGTGGAAAGAACTTTAAGACAGAGTTTGTGAGTGGAACTAGATAATGATTTGCTATTTTGCAGCTTAAAACTCATAGGCTAACGGTGCTGAAAAAAACAGAGACTTAGCAATACAGTTTGGCCATAATATTCCAAGTTTTTAGTTCTCTGTTAATAAAGCAGTGATTAATCTAACTGAATTTGTATTTTGTTGTCCCATGAGGAAACAGGTCATGATTATTTTTGTGTAATACAGAGAGGTTTAAGACAGTGAAATCCCTTAAAGGTGCACATTCACATCAAGATTTAGAAATATTTATAATTATTGGTCTAAAAATCCCACTTTTGTCAGTGTCCGCATGTTGGCATGCATTTTATACATATATGTAAAAATACATGTATACTATTCCTCTTGTGATTTTTATCTATAGTAAACATAATTGGCAAAGGTTTAAGGCCTAAATGCTCTTTTACCTTCGTAAGGCATTAATCTTTATTTTTAATTGTTAACTTAAAATTCTTGCTTTGTAGAAATATCACTTGAATTTCATTAATCTATTTATTTTTCTGCAATAGCTTCTAAATGAGTAACTCTCTGGGGTCAGTAGTTTTAATTCATATAGGCTCCTAGGAGAGGATTTCTAACCTTAGAAACAGTTCATTTTGTTCCAATTCTCTTTTCAGCTTCAATTCATTAATTCTGCTTCACTTCTCTCCTCTACAAAGCACCCAAGAACAATTGTGATACCTGTTACTTGATATTTTGTTATAGCTTGAAGAGTTCATAGCTTGAGAATGTATGAATGTTAACCCCCTTCTTAAACACTAATATTGTGGAAATTGGATAGAGCTATTTTAGAATACTGGAGGAGATAATGTATGTAATCACTTGCTAAGGAATAAGTTCTTTTAATATTTTCAGTCTGATTGTGTATCCAGATGAGTAGAAGAAATATGTTCACAGCTAAATTGTCCAGGCAAGACAGACCTTTTGGTCAAGAGAGAAAAAATGTATATAAGATGATAAAGCCATAAATGTGGGGAAGCTCAGCATTGATACAAATTAGAGAGATCACACTAAAATAATCTGGTTTAGTAGAGCAGAGCTTTTTTTCCCTCGAGCTGTCTGTACGTTTCCTTCCCAGAGGATGTGGTGTGAGTGGATGGGGCTGTCTGGAGCAGTGGTAGGGATGTGCCAGGCTGAAGCTGTATGTTTCATTGTGGCTTGGCCTTTGTCCTGCCGTGGCAGTTCCCAGCTGATCTTGCCGAGCAATTTGTTTGCAGCACCTGATGGTTGCAAAGTCTGTGCAGGTAATGGCAGTAATCTTTTGGGGTTTGCTGAGCAGCTGCAGGCTTGGAAGGTCTTTTTTTCTCTATCCCAAAGACTATATTTAAATGTTTCTGATAGGTGATATTTCAATATAAAAGAAAAAAACTGTGGTTTTGTTCTGATTCAACATAGATCTTGAAAACACTGATCAATTTCCATTTGAACGGAAACTCAGGTTGGCTGCCAGTGTTTTCAGGAGAACAGCCACTGCCCCCAGAGGCAGAGTAGTGCAGAGACTTGTGTAGTAAAGGATACTGAAGAGATGAACAGCACACTGGAGTCCTGAAATTGTGCTAAAAAATGGAATCTAGAAGACCCTAAAAATATTAATACTGGATAACATCAGTGACCTCTTTTAGAGCTATTCCTGACTTATTTTCATTACTGACCTTAGACCATAAAGCTATAATATGCTAATCAAAATGTCCTGTTAAAGTTAGGAGTGAAAAATCAGTATAGAAGAACATTATTAAATTGTATAGGAAAAACTGAATCACCTTAGGGAATGGAGCAATGGAGAAGGGGAGAAATTCCATACTAGGAAATGCAAG